GTCCCTCAATGCCGAGATTTGCCACTGCGACAAAGATGAGAATGGCGAGACGAAGTCCGATGAGGCATCTTCTGCGCCACCCAGCAGACATGACCAGGCTACCACCAATGGCAGGTATTTTGTACTCAACCAAGTCGACGGTACCGCGCTTGTTTAAGGCCTCGTTGTTGGAAAATCCTGCAAGTTTGCTGGACATGAACAGGGCATAGGGAAGAAGAACGATGTCCAGGAGAATAAAATTGACAACATTCAAAACTTCGGAGGGGATTTCAACTCGGACCATGTCTGCCCGCCGAAACGAAGAAGCGTGCTAGCGGAATGTGAAGAAGGACGATTGTGGTCGATGGGGCCAGAGCACCTGCGATTTCTAGATACGTTGGAAGCGCTCACCGCAGTAAGTTTCAACAGCGATGGAGAAGAGAGCAGCGAGATACAAGGCTGATGTGAGGATATGCAGTCTACCTTGCTAGATTGCGTTGTATGCAAATATGAGTTGAGATGTGTGCGGCACGGCGGATAGGTGCGTAGAGAATGAGGGCAAGCACTGGCGGCTCCAGTACTGATATAATATCTCATGGGAGGCTATGTTGGTTGATGTAAACGTAAATCAGCTGCACATAATTCGGGGTTTGAGTAATTGTAAAGTACAGTAGTAGGAGGGACAATTCAGGCGTTGAGATGAGGGATTTCATTCGGAAGTGAAAGGTGATAGAGTTGCGACGGTACAGAGCGCCGGGGCGGTGGGGACGGAAGGCCTGTCTGCTGCTCAATAATAGAACAAGGGAAAAGAATAAAGGCATGCGGTGGAGGAGGCTTGCACGTGACACCAGGAGTTGAGAATGCCTCCCCTGCATACTGTTTTATATGATGCGAATAAATTGAAAGCATGACAAATTTCCGAGACTGGACTACCGTATTCCGGGATATGCACGTGGAGAGAATATGATTGTTTCCAATCATGTTCTCTCCACGTGCATATCCAGTCCTGAGGTTTGCGAATATGATTGTTTCCAATCATGTTCGCAAACCTCAGGACTGTATTGCAGGCTCCCAAGTATCCACAAAGGATCTCTCTTCCCACCCCAGCTAGCCCGTATCTGGAGTTGCGTATCTGTTTACAATCCCCCACTTCTCTTCAAGCCCAACGAACACGCTGTCCGTCGTGATGCAATCCGTCTATGCAGTTCAATGATGTACATAATACACGCTTCACCAAGCAAATCGCGTCAAAGCACGGGAGCAAGGTGTGAACACGCTGAGTGATGTTCGGCTCAACATGGCACCTGTCAAAGCCAAATCTATCCGCATCTCAACCAGCCCTGCCTGCATTACAGTAGTGGCACGAAGCTACGATTGTACCGTACCCATGCAGTTATTTTTGGCAGTTGCTTGCTTGTGCTTCTTCTATGTGAACAACACTAACAACTCTGTACTGTTCTCATGGACCCGTTGTCGTGTGTGGTTCTCTGTACAGTACAGTACTGTACTCAGACTCTTTCTGCGTGTCCCAGCGAAAAGATGCTGTTTTCAACCTGGGAGTGGAAGTCGTCAGAGGTACAGTACAGAAATTAAAGTAACTGCATCGCTTCCGTCCCTCCGTTCTTATTCAATAAAGCAACCAAAGTTTGTTGTGCCAATATGTGAGCTTCAACAACAATCGGCGCCAACACAGCAAAGCTGTAACAAGAAACACAGCCATGATTGAGGTTTGGAATTTAGGGGCAACACCATTCAACCCCCTAGAAGAGGAGTGCCCCACACATGCTGTGGAGAGGATGCACCACGGTCGGTAGTTGCTCGAAAGAATAAACCGCCATGGCGGTTGTTGGGCATCTGGCAGCACTCATCATGTGCCCATTCGCGCATATTCTTTGGTTGTTTGCTCATGATACATGCCAGCGCTGGAGACTTTGAGAAATTTCCACTGGACAAATAGGGGAAAAGAAGTGGAGGTTTATTCTTCCATGTCCAGAATGAAGTCAGGCACAGTCTTCTCTATTCCCAGCAGAAAAGCAGTTCTCGAGGCTTCTAAAGAGTCTTTCGTATAAATAAAGGGCATACAGCGGATTGCGAAATGTCGGAGATGCCATCAGTATGTTAATGCATAGCGATGGATACAGTGTGGAGAACAGTAGTCAAGGCAATGCAACCTGGAACGACAAGGCAGCACTGGGCGGCGCAGGAGCATCACAACCAGTATGGCACGGTTGTATCCGCACAGGAAGTACGCATCTGTACTGAAGGGAAGTATGAAGGGAAGTATGGGAAGTATGAACGAAAGAAAGCTATAAACAATGGGGCGCGTACTTAGGTACCTCGGTTTCACTGGGTTGTAAGGCCAATGCTCGTTGAGCTTCTTCGACACCTTGTAACGCGACAAGGCCTTCGACGGGGGCGTCGCAACGCAGCCCGACGGGATGAAATGAAATTAGCAGCGGTACGTCAACTGTGTCGCCCGATGGCTCGAAACACCTACACCGCTTCGGTCGCAACCGAGGCCGAT